GGGGGGGGGCTGCTGGGGTGGAACCTGAAGCAGCCGCCGGGCTACAGCTGCAGGTAGGCGCCTGGCGTCTCCGCCCTCCAGGGGAAGAGATTGGACGATGTCGCAGACCGTGGCCCCAGCCTTGAGGTCTCTTATTGGAGAAGAACCTTGCGGTGCCACTGAGCTTGGAGAAACTCTGGGGACGCCACACCAGGAGACACCCTGCAGGTGGGTCACTGAGGCTCTCCCTCGGCCTCTGTGCTGGTTGCTTTTGCCCTCTGTGGTCTGAGTCCGAGGTTCCCAGGAGCTGATTTAAACTCCACCAGCCTGTTCGCAGAGTTTCAGGCGCCCTTAGTTAAAAGGCTGGAAGGTTGCCAACTAGCTCGCCATTCTCTGAGGGGTGCTAGTCCCAGAGCTCTGTAGGTGTTATAACTCACTCTTCATGCCGCCCTAGGAGCGGGCACTGTGAACCTCGCCGGGCCTGCAAGGAAACCTTGGCATGGGAAGGTTTCACAGTTGCTCAGGGTTTCCCACTGGAGAGCAACCTAGAAGAGCTGGAGGTTTGACGCCAGCTTAACCACCATGTGATAGCTCAGCCTGCTGGTTCTTAACAGGACCACTAAGTGAGGGAGAGACTACGTTCCTACACACTTAGCTGTCTAAGGATGGCAGCCACTGGACCCAGGAGGTCTACTCCAGCCCAGAGCCACTGCAGGAATGAACTGGCGTGCACCATCTCAGTGCAGGATGCTTTGGCTACGTGCCTTGTTTATTTGACAAAATGGTGTTAGATGAGACTTTTTTCCTAACGATGGCAGAGGTACAGCTTGTTACATCATCTTGTAGGTTGCTCTTGTCTTGAAAAAGATTCTTGGGTTCCCTGAACTCACGGACTACAAGCTGGACTCCTCTGCTCTAGAACTATGCAGCTGAGACAGACTTACCGAGGACTAACTCTGTAGAAGACAGAATGCCCAATTCATATTCCTTGCAATGCAGGATTGTTAGACAGAACTTTTATAGAGCATTTCAAACCTCGGTTTTCTCCAAGGAAGAGAAAAACATGTGTACTCAAGTTCCCTGAACTCACGGACTACAAGCTGGACTCCTCTGCTCTAGAACTATGCAGCTGAGACAGACTTACCGAGGACTAACTCTGTAGAAGACAGAATGCCCAATTCATATTCCTTGCAATGCAGGATTGTTAGACAGAACTTTTATAGAGCATTTCAAACCTCGGTTTTCTCCAAGGAAGAGAAAAACATGTGTACTCAACTGGTGTCTTAGTTTGGGTTTAA